CCAGGTTTTCCATAGAGTTCTGGCTCACTGCCTAACGAGGTCATTAGCCTCACCTGTAGGGGCTGTGAGCAGCTATATAACTGCAGTTAACGCAGGGTGAAGGGAGGGAAGTGTTTTGGAGGAGAAAGAAGGTGTTTTGTGGAGAAAGAAGATTTGCTGTTCATTGTATCCTGTTACTTCACAACAACAGAAAATAAACAGGCCAGAGGCCTTTTTGAAACTGGACTTTGTCTTGACCTGGGTTTCTTACCCTAGAGGGCTGTGCGGGTGCCAAAAGATCCTGGACAAACACACACAGGAAAGTAAGTTTGTCACAATATATATATATATATATATATATATATATATATATATATATATATACACACACACACACACAGTTTGGGGTATTAGATTGGATGCATTAAAATAAACAATTGTAGAAGATTTGCAAGTGCTCAACCAAAACCAAACATAAAACATAACTTTTATTTATTACTTAGATGTACAAAACAATGAGGAAACCAGATGTGCATAAAATAGTAATATCTGCTATAGAAGAAACTAGTTAGACATCACAAGAATATGTGGGATGTCCGACAGAGATAAATAGTATGAACTGCCCTAATCAGGAGTGCCTATGCAGCTTCACACATAGAAAATAAATAAATACCTAAAAATTATCTCCTTGAACTGTTTAAACAATGGGTTCTTAAATGTATAGCAATTCAATACTATACATTGAATATATACCATTTATATTAATTTCTGGTACTGGGCTGCTATGCATTTAAGAACACTTTCTTCATCTAACATTTTTAGGGAGATGTCCCTTTTGGGTTTCAATAGTTTTGTTTAAACCCTTAAGGACCAAACTTCTGGAATAAAAGGGAATCATGACATGGCACACATGTCATGTGTCCTTAAGGGGTTAAAAGGGTTAAATACTGGATTTCTATTTAGTTATTCATTTTATTTGTATTAAAAGGCTAAATGCTGGATTTATTTATTTATTTTTGATGGGTGAAGCTGCATAGGCATTCCCGATTAGGTTAGTTCCTACTATTTATCCCTATCAGACAACCGGTATATACTTGTGATGTCTATCTAGTTCCCATTGTAGCTGATATAACTATTTTACACATGTCTAGTTTCACAATTGTTTCATATATTTTCTAAGTTATGAATAACCGTTATGTTATATGATTGTTTTTAGTTGGGTACTTGCAAGTCTTTAATTATTCTACAATTGTTTAAGCGATTAGGGGTTAACCTTCATAATATATTTCCAACTTGATACACTTTCTCTAATCCTTTTTGCTATTTAATTATTAGTTTGTATGACTAGGTTGGGGTATGACTGAATGGTGAATGTGTCTAGGTGGGTGGTTGGATTATAAATTGTACAGCACTGGGATATATGTATGTATGTATGTATGTATGTATGTATGTATGTATATGTGATAGCACTCCAAGGACTATAAATAAAATTAAACTTTTATTACCTCCACTAAAACAGTACAGTCTTAGTGTTTTTTTAGTGGAGGTAATAAAAGTTACATTTTATTTATAGTCCTTGGAGTGCTATCACTTATTATTATTTTTATATTTTTGGCTGACAAGCACCAGGCATTTACTTTGGAATTAAAGGTGGAGTGCAAGATCTATTGGAATATATATATATATATATATATATATATATATATATTTTATTGGAAGGCCATTTGGCCTGAATTTGTGGGAGGAGTTAAGATCCTATATAAACCCTACCCCCCACTTACTTTTTTTGTGCAAGTTGTTTGTTTCCATAGTTACCTGCACTTCCGGTCGTTGTTCCCGCCAGTCCTGCCTCAAACAAACACTCTATCTTCAGCAGCTCCTGCCGCCAACCTCTGGGCTCGTCCACTGGCTGCCCCGCTGTATTCCTTACCCAGCTTTCTTGCTTCCGGTCACGGGACCGGCACGCACACTTAAGCATCAAAGTGGGAAATAGCGCTCGGCTATTTCCCGCGTTCGGGCCTAAAAACGCGGGGTTAGGCTCCCTATATTACTTACCCGTTCATATAATTCTGCTGTTTGTGTACTTCTGCCTTTGTGCGGCTATTAGCTGACCGCAGAGTACACACTCATTCGTTTTTCTTTCGTTAGTATTAAATACCGACCGCTTATACTCGCCTACGTTCGCCTGTTTCTTACATACTTTCATCAGCCGAAACACGTACAAACGGCTGTTTTACTAGCTTTTAGTTTTTCCTAATCTATCACATGCGGTCCTGTTATATCCCTCTTGCACTTTCATTAACCGTACTCATGAGGTTTTATGCAGTTATTTGTATAATTTTAAGTATGTTTCTCAAATTTGTTCCTTTTAAAAAACATATGTACACAGTTTTACGTTTTCCTTAAATCAGAGTGTCACTTTTCATCACCCATAGTCACATTTAATTATGCATAAATTCCCATGGGGCATTCTCTTAAAGACACAGTTGGCCCCCTTATGCTTTTTGATGTCAATAGGTCAAGCCCATCAAACCGCTTAAATTTATCCAGCTCCACACTCAATTTGTTAATTAGCTCTTATTTCTAAAATCTCTATTTCTATTAAAAACACTATACTCTGGTTCCTTATTTTTAAATAATGAACGTGTTTTTGGTTCTACTACTCTTCAAGAAAACTCCAGGAGGTGGTTCCAGTATCCCGTCTCATGGTATCAGGTAGGAAAAGGTTAACATTTTTACGTTTCTCCTGAGGCCTCATTCAGCCTCCACGGCCTTTTTTACTATCCCCTTCCACCTCCCACAGTGGGTTCTAACTTCAAGATGCCTCACCCTCCATGTTACTATTATATTAATGTGTTAAATTTGTTTATCATTTCTACATATCATTACTTAGACCTGCACCATGTCGCAGAATCACTATGCCATCAACAAACCAACAGGCTAGCTGGTCCCCGACGTCTGAGTATCAGGTATCATTAATCTTACTCACTATGATTACGTTCCTTCTAAGGCCTCACTTTGCCTTCGTATCTTTCACAAGTAATGCACATTTATGGGAATCCAGTGGCTTGTCTCAAAATATTTGGACCAACATTCCGGTCCCTTAGCTTACACTGGTTCTTACGCCACAGTTTCGCTGTTACACTCATTTCCATACGTTTTATTGAAGTCGCCCTGAGCATTGTCTAAATATACAGGACAAACACTCAAGGTCAGTATCTACATACGTTACATACTTCCTTTCTAGAGACAAGCCCCATCAGGTTAGAGAGCTGGCTTTCAGGGTCAGGCGCTGGCCCTAGCTTTCCCAAATAATACTGCGGTCCGCGAGGTCTACACCCCCACCTCATACACGGAGGTTCAGCCCCACGACCAAATCATAGCTAGCCACCTTGCTCGCTCTTCTTTGGGCTACAGTTAGGGCTTCCCAAGTCATGGCCACACATTTTGAATCTCTTACTGTCACCGAGAGACCAACATCCTGCCACCTCGTTTGGTGGCCACAAAATCATAGGTAGAGCCTCTCACCCAGTGGCGTACTAAGTGGGCGGTCCGCCCCGGGTGCCAGCCGGGTGGGGGGTGCCATGGCCAGCCCCGCCGCCCCCCCCCCATGCTGCAGCCGCCCGAGCACTCTGTATAGAGCCTCAGGCGGCTGCAGCTTTGCCCGGGCGGTGCGTCCATGAGGGCGGACCGCACCGCCCGGGCGCAGCCTGAGAAAGGGGCTGACAGGAGGGAAGCGCTCAGCGCTGAGCGCTCCCTCCTGTCAGCTTCCTTTGCTGTAGCGTGGCCGAGCCCTGCAGCATTTATAGTCCGACGGGTACAGAGAGCAGCTGTCTCCTGTACCCGGCCGGACTAACAGGAAGTGCACACTGAGTGTGCACTTCCTGTTCCCAGCTAGTCCGGCCGTGGTACAGGAGACAGCTGCCTCTGTACCCGCTGACTATACTGGGCTCGGCCACTACAGCAAAAGGTAGGGGTGAGAGAGAAAGGAGGGGGGGGTGAAAGAGGAGAAAGGGGGGGTGAAAAAGGAGGGGGGTGAAAAGAGAGAAAGGGGGTGGGAAAAAGGAGGGGGTGAAAAAGAGGAGAAAGGGGGGTGAAAAGGAGGGGGTGAAAAAGAGGAGAGAGGGGGGTGAAAAAGAGGAGAGAGGGGGGGTGAAAAAGGAGAGGGGGAGGAGAAAGGAGGGGGAGAAAGAGAAAGGAGGGGAGGGGGGAGAAAGAGATATTAGGAGGGGGGAAAGAGAAATTGGGAGGAGGAGAAGGAAATTGGAGCGGGAGGAGAGATTGACATTCATCACATACACACAATGCACCCCTTGCACACAGAAAAACACACAATACATTACACACACAGACACACATACACAAGCAATGCAACCGTTACACACAATGCATCCCTTACACACACAGAAACACACAATGCATTCATTACACACACTCAATGCACCCCCTACACACATTCAATGCATCCCATACATACACAGAAACACACCTTGCAGTCCTTACACATACAAACACAATTTCACACAATGCATTACTTACACACATATCAGGACATCCCCTACACACTCCACCCCCTGTGAACAAACTCATTGGTGGAACATGAAGGTGGACCCTGGGACCCAGACCTTGAGCTGTGTAAAGGACCCCAAAAAAATGGAGCTACTTCCCGTTCTCCCAGAACATTGATTTTGTGACCACAGCCAAACCGCCTCCAGAGAGCCTGTTCCTACACCCTCAGACCAGTGGAGCCAGACTGCAGCTAGAGCCCATCATCATCCTCATCTGGTTGTAAGTAGGCAATCTTAGTATATTACACTTTCGTGGTACCAAGCTTCCACTCTACCTCACATTAAAAGAAATTTAGGTAGTCCCCAGAACCACTTCAGCTTAATGTAGTGGTTCTGGTGTCTATAGCCTGTCCCTGCAGGCCTTTTAATGTAAACACGGCGGCACTGCAGCACTGGTGTTAGTTAACATGGCAGATCATATGGGTGGGGCATTGTGATGTCACATGGGGGGGCGGCAAACTTTACTTTTGCCTAGGGCTGCAAAAATCCTTGCACCGGCCCTGGCTGGAGGGGGCTGTGTGAGCTGTGGCCGCACAGTGTCCCATGGTAGTTAGGGTGCCGTGCGGCCAGTACAGCTCACACAAGCAAACAGCTGATAAACTGGCCGCATGGAGGAAATGTGTATGTGTGACTGTCTGCCTGTGACTGTATGTGACTGTCTGCCTGTAACTGAGTGTGTGACTGTCTGTAACTGAGTGTGTGACTGTCTGCCTGTAAATGTGTGTGGGGCTGCAGGGATTTTGTAGAAGGGGCGGGGGTTTTGTATTGGGACAGGAGTCTTTACAAATTGTAAAAAAAAAAAAAAAGAGAACCTTTAAAAATTTAATGGGTGCCAAGTACAGGATCCGCCCCGGGTGCCAAATGCTCTAGGTACGCCCCTGCTCTCACCGCGACTTGGCAATAGCAGGGCCTCACCTGTCACTTGGTCCTAGGTCCTAGGTTAATTCTTCGCCTTGGTACTAGCTAGCAGGCCAGTTCGCTGGAGGTCTCATCCCCACCTCTACGACACCTTACTCATCCAAATCATTATTTCTTTTCAGAATGTCACAAGAATCCATCCCAATAATCGGTCTACTGTTTGATGAAATACCCAGCACATCAGTCAGGCCTGGGTGTCCGAAGGAATCTCTCACCCTTTCTTTGCTCGTTCCCTTCTTTGTTCGTTCTATACATCCATACGCCTCATACAGCCCTATTTCGCCACTCAGCAGCTCAGGACTAACATTAAGCACTCTGCCTTCCACTACAATACCTCTACACATGGCCCTCACCAAGCCTTCACTCCATAAGTTTACACATAGCCCACTATGGGCACTATGGCAATTCCGGCGCCTCATTTGGGCAGTTACTTACGTCAATTTTGGCCCCACCTTTGGGCAATTACATTTCTAATAAATGAGGGATAAAGAAATACAACCTTTCATACTACATTCCTAATATTACGCATGACCTTGTTAGGCCCACGCATGTCTTTTCCCTCTCTCGGCACACACCAGAGAACCCGGTACCTATCACAATGCTTTTAACATATCCAGGCTTCTTGGGTCTGTCACAAATGTAACTGTTTAGTTCCTCTTACCACTCCTTCATCCCACGCACTAAACTGGAAGGCGGGCAGAAGGACAAGCGGGGCTGACCATTAATTTCCGGGCAAGCTTTGACTTTAATGCTGGGGTATGCTATTTTCACTACATACAGGGTATCACACATCCGCTTCATCTGCTCCAGAACTCACACCTAATCCACATATACAGACCGTCTGTCACCCAAAATACACCTAACTAGGTCAACATCCTGGTATACTATCTGCATTTACACCCAGCTGGGCATATGGTAGATTCTGATGCCGGGTTTCTCACAGAGGTCTCGCACAGGCCTTGGCGCCAACCCCACGGGTACACTCGTATGCCCTAACCTATTATCTACATCTATTGACCACTTACGGTGGACCACCTTTTGTCCACAGCAATCATATGCCCTTATGGTGGAGCTACATATATATGTGTGTGTGTGTGTATGTGTGTGTATATATGTGTGTATGTGTATGTATATATGTATGTGTGTATATATATATATATATATATATATATATATATATATATATATATATATATATATATGTGTGTGTGTATGTATATATTGTGTGTTTGGGGCACTCATATGATATAGAATAAGATAGGTTGTAGAGATTAAGCTTAGGAATAATCGGTTGAGATGTGCCGAAACCGACGTATGCTGTAGGCCGGTAAAAAGTGGGCTTACATAGAGGAAATATGAACAATGGGAGTGGAGGGTGGGGCTATTTGTCTGACCAACAAAGGTAAGTAGGGAAAGGGAGGGGTCCCTTTTATAGGTCTATAGCTCCTCCCACAACTTCAGGCCATGTCTTCCAATTTGTGTTCGGGGCATTCTCATATGATATAGAATAAGATGGGTTGTAGAGATGTAGCTTTAGGAATAATCAGTTGAGGTGTGCCGAAACCGACGTATGCTGTAGGCCGGTAAAAATTGGGCAAAAAGAGACATATTAATGCAAAACATTATACAGGATCATAGTGCATTTGTTAACCATCAGGTAGACATTTTAATGAAAGCTTCCTAATTCCTGAATCGGCTGTGGAATGTAAGTCGCATAAGCCTATGATTCCCAGCGGCCCTGTGTCTTAACGTGTGCGGGGATGTCTTGCCTATAGGCCGTGGAGGCTGCTCCTATCCTAAAGGAGTGCCCTGAGTAGTCGCTAGGGTTTAGTTCGAGCCCGGTGAATGAGTAGGTGGACTTAGTGCATGAACTTACCTGTGGTAAGGACAGTATCGTACAGCGACAGTAATGGTTCAGTGGTGTGTATGGTGGTATGCCCAAGAATGTAACCAGTACCATAACCGGGCACCCAGCATTGCTTGTAAGGTAGTAGGTTATATGCACTGGCTCGCCCATCTGACTCGTCTTAGTTTTAGGAAGGGACCGGACATAGTGGTCTGTGTGTTTTAGAAGATAAGAGGTCAACAGGCACTCTTGTTTATGATCAACAATATGATAAAACTTAGTAGATATACACCAAACAAATTCGGTAGAGTATCTTTCTAAGATTAAAAATAAAGATTAGATACGGCTACCATAACCACTGTATCACTAGTATAAAATAACCACCACCAGGGGTTAAGCAATCAAAATAAAACACACTAATTGAAAAAAATTAAAAATACATAGGATTTAGTGGAAATGGAAATGTGTAGAGCACTTCACAATAAATGAATGTTAATGTTTGCTCTCTTATTCGAATACAAATGTATCAGCTGGTCCTGTCATCACCACCTATTAGATAAGGAAGGCAGAGTCTATGGACTGCTGAAATTAATCTAATATAAGTTCCAATAAGTTATGAATCCAATATATATGGCTAGTAAATATGTGTAAAAAATTAGAATCAAGCCCCTCCAAGGGTTAAAATCCACTGCAGCAGACAGATACTTTTTAAAGTTTATTGAATGATAAAAAATGCTACACACACATGTAGCTATTGATAAAAAAGGGGGTCCCAAACATGAGTTACAAAAAAGATAGCACCAGTACCAGGTTTAACAGACCTCGAGCCCAAAAGCTCTTGACAAAAGTGAGGCTAAATGGATATTTCAACTTAATAGTTTAGAGCCCTTTGGTTTAAATATTGATTTTGAACTAAATGCTTTTCTTTAATTACTTAATTTTTTTTTTTCAGTGTGTATCTATAACAAATGAATTTTACAATTAATAATGTGTTTATCTTTCTCCTCTTCTCTCTCCAGGTGATTTATAAATCAATGAAATTAATTAAATTTTTTAATAAATTTTTTTTTTTTTTTTTTTAATTTTCCAAATTTTTATAAATTTTTAACTTTTTGATAAATTAATTTTTATTTTTTGAATTGCTATACTTTATATTTATATATATTCATAACCCATCCTTAGAGTATTTCTATTATGCAAGAAATTTTTAATCTATTGATCACTGCTTTTGGGATGTATTTGTGAAGGAATATAAGATTTTATAATGTATTTATAATAACCAATATACCACATAATATGTTAGAATTTCTTTAGTATTTGGTTATTTGGTTGTTTGTCCTTTATATATTTTCCTTGTTTTATATATTGCCCCTCTCTATATTGTCCCCTTTTATATTGCCTTTGTATAATTCCCCTTTTTTTTTTTTATGGTTATTAGTTTTCCATTATATATGTGTGGCTAAAAACAAACAATATATCATGTGTCAACTTCTTATATTATTTATACTGATATGAATTGCAACATTGTACATAGACTTAAGGGTTAACGTGATACTAATGAAGACAGACAGAACAAGTATAAAAAGAAGATTGCAGACTCCATGATGCCATCCTCTGATGAAGTGATCAAGAATCACGAAACTAGTAAGGCGGCATCTGCAAACCAATACACATCGGTCCCGAGAGTGAGCACCTCTGACACGCATCCTGAGCCGCAGTGGAACGCACGCGGCTAGAAACCAGCAGCATACAGCACGAGGAAAATCCAATTCACTTCTGTCCGGCCGGCAAGAAAGTGATCTTTTGGGCTCGAGGTCTGTTAAACCTGGTACTGGTGCTATCTTTTTTGTAACTCATGTTTGGGACCCCCTTTTTTATCAATAGCTACATGTGTGTGTAGCATTTTTTATCATTCAATAAACTTTAAAAAGTATCTGTCTGCTGCAGTGGATTTTAACCCTTGGAGGGGCTTGATTCTAACTTTTTACACATATTTACTAGCCATATATATTGGATTCATAACTTATTGGAACTTATATTAGATTAATTTCAGCAGTCCATAGACTCTGCCTTCCTTATCTAATAGGTGGTGATGACAGGACCAGCTGATACATTTGTATTCGAATAAGAGAGCAAACATTAACATTCATTTATTGTGAAGTGCTCTACACATTTCCATTTCCACTAAATCCTATGTATTTTTAATTGATTTTTTCAATTAGTGTGTTTTACTCTTGTTTATGATGTTGACCGCTGATAGTGAGTTATTTTTTGGCATGAGAAAGCCGTTAAAGGCTAGATAAGTAGCAGTTTTGATAACTGCATTGGTGCGTTGCTCGGAAGGTGCATGGTTGAGTGGTTCTGACATGGTTTGAACATTGTATGTCTATGGCCGGTATTTAGTTTTAACGGGAACGTCCACTTAGCTATGTCTCTAAGTAAGGTATGGATGGGGTAGGAGAAATACGTATAGTGTTGAATGCCCGTGAGATAAGTTTAACTGTGTGCGAAAATTTTTAACTTAAGGTGGCAAAAAGAGGCGAAGGCCATAAGTGGTGAAACCTCAAACCAGCTATCTAAGTGATGGTCCGACATGAAACGTATTGTATAAGTGGAAAACCCTGTAGCAAGCATGTTGAGTGCTGGTGGACAAGGCCAGTTTTGTCAGAGCCAGGCTATGTTGGCGAGGTTCATGTAATCT